GACAAAACAGGAAAATGATAAATGTTGGAAAAGATGTGGGAAAATTAAAACACTAATGCATTGTTGGTGGGGTTGTGAACTGATCCAACCATTCTGGAGAGCAATTTGGAACTATGCCCAAAGGGCTATAAAACTGTGCATACCCTTTGATCCAGCAATACCACTACCGGGTCTGTATCCCAAAGAGATCACAAAAATGGGGGAAAGACCCACATGTATAAAAATATTTCTAGCAGCTCTTTTTGTGATGGCCAAGAACTGGAAATTGAGGGGATACCCATCCATTGGGGAATGGCTGAACAAGTTGTGGTATTATGAACATAAAGGAATACTATTGTGCTATAAGAAATGATGAGCAGGCAGATTTCAGAAAAACCTGGAAAGATTTACATGAACTGATACTGAGTAAAGTGAGCAGAACCAGGAGAATATTGTACATGGTAAGAGCCACACTGGGTGATGACAAACTTTGATAGACTCTTCTCAGCAATGCAAGTATCTAAAACATCTCCAGAAGTCTCATGATGGAAAATGCTGTCCACATCCAGAGAAAAGAACTATGGAGTCTGAATGCAGATGGAAGCATACTATTTACTCTCTCTTTTTTTGTTTCTTCTTTCTTGTGGTTTCTCCCATTGGTTCTAATTCCTCTTTACAACATGACTAATGTGAAAATTTAAAAAAAAAAAAAGAAAGAAAGTGAACAGGCAGGTCAAGAGGTTGTCTATTGTCCAGGTATATTTCTCTTCTAGGGGAAGTTGAACCACTGGGGTCCTGCCAAAGGGCCGAATGCCCAGATGGAGCTTAAACAGGTACTCTACAGCCTCAACCCCAAATTTGTTTTCCTTCTAAGAGGAATCCAACCCATAGGGTAGCGCTATGATCCTGCAGGCCTTCAGGACCCTGGGGAAAGGTGGGACTCACTGTAGAAAGAGGATAGCTGTATTGATTGTGATTTCTGTGGGCTATGTATTTTCCACAGGATGGAATAAAGACAGTAGCACAGTGGTACCTCTATATTCATTTTTAGCATGAATGATTGATTACCTGAGACCCAGATACCCTTTTACCCACATCTATGACACTCATACCCATATTTGAGCTAGATTATGAGATTTCCCAGAGTAAACTCTGGGTGGGGGTGTACAAACCCCAGCATTTGTTGATTTCGAGGTAGTAACTGAGATTAAACCCTGGTTCATATAAACCAGGGGTCCTTAACCTGAAGTCCATGAACTTGTTTTTCAAAAGGGCTTTTGATAACTGTATTTCAACTAAAATTGATGACCTTGGTGAACCTTCTACGTATTTAAAACCTGATTCTGAGAAGGGGTCCATAGACTTCCCCAGACTGCCAAAGGAAAGAAAAAGAGTAAGAACACACACACCAAAAATGAGCTTAACACAATAATTCCCGGCGACAGCTCCCAGAGTAGTGAACAGGACCACCCAAATTACAGAGATGTTGGACAGAAAGTCCCTCATTAACTGTCAAGTGATGTAGAAATGTGAGCGGCTAATTACAAGAAAAACACATGTTTATGTTGTACTTAAGAGTCTATGAAGTACTTGTGTCATAACCCTTCTGTGGGGGAAGCAGGACAAGGATGTTTTGGCAATTTTATCAATGAGGACGTTGAGGCTCAGAGAGTGATTGTATATTTGCCCAGGATCTCACGGCCGGTGTGTATCAGGATTTGAACCCCAGGTCTTCCTGGTTCTGACCTCAGCTCTCTTTGCACCATGTCACCCTGCCTTGAGGGAGGAGAGACAAAGCTTATTAGCCCCATTCTACAGATGGGCCCCCTGCTGTTTGGGTTGAGTGGCCAGGATGTGATCATACAGCTAGAAGGTGGCCAAGATGGCATTCAAACCCAGGTCTTTCTCTATTCCAAGACTAGTGTTCTTTCTAAAGGAAAAGATGGGTCTTCAGAGCACAAAGCCAGCCAGATTCCAAAGGCTGGGTTGGTGGGCACCATGAAGAGGGAGAAGACTTTGGGGGCAATGACTGTGATGAGACTGTTTCTGGACTTGGCTCTCATGGCCAACTCCCTCATTTTACAAATTTTGAGGAAACTGAGTCCCAGGGTGGGAGAAAGACTTGCCCAAGGTCCCACATACATCTAGAGACTGAAGGAACTTCAGAAGCCATCTAATACAATACCTTATTTATGGGGCAGCTAGGTGGCACAATGCTTAGAGCACTGGGCTTGGAGTCAGGAAGAAGTAAGTTCAAATCCAGCCTCAGCCACTTAGTATCTGTGCAACACTTAACCTCTATATGCCTCAGTTTCCACAATTGCAAAATGGGGATCATAATAGCACCTACCTCCTAGGGTTGTTGTGAGGATCAAATGAAATAATTGTTAAGCACTTAGCATGGCGCCTGGCACATAGTAGGTCATATCTAAATGTTAGCTATTATTATTATTATTTTATAGATGAGAAACAGACCCAGAGGGGAAGTGACTTGCCCAGAGTCACACAGTCATAAGTATCATAAGCAGCATTTGAACCCACAGCTAGGTGGTGCAGTGGATAGAGTTCTGGCCTTGGAGTCAGGAGGACATGAGTTCAAATCCAGTCTCAGACACATGACACTTACTAGCTGTGTGACCCTGGGCAAGTCACTTAACCTGGATTGCCTCACCAAAAAGGCAAAAGCAAAAAAAAAAAAACCCCGAAGCATTAAGCACCTACTATGTGCCAGGCACTTTGATAATCATGTCTTGTGATTTCAGTCAGTGGTCTTTCTCCTGTTTGAGATCTCATAGCTAGTAAACAGTAAGACTTTAACATCCTCCCTTCAGGGGCTAATTAGCTATGAGACCATGGGGAAAGCACTTAACTTCTCTGGGCCTTAGTTTCCTTTTCTGTAAATTGGATGTAATCATGCCTAAAGTGTCTACCACAGAACTGTTGGGAAACTCAAATGGGATGTTAAGACATTTTGTGAATTTTAAGGTGCTATAGAAATGCCAATTATTATTGTTATGGTTGCTTTCATTTTTTTTTCATTTTTTCATTTTTCACTTTTTTTTTTACTTCACCGTTTCAAACCACTTTTTAAAATGACCAAGAATGAATCTTCATCTTTATGCAAGACAGCTTAGATATAAACAGCCCAGTTGCAGCCCTACTCTTCTTGAATGGTCAATGTGTAGCAAAGTCTTGTGCCAGCAGGAAAAAAGAACTGTTTTTTAAGAATTTAAAAACAGCATTGAGATGCAGGACTGTTTTTGGCAGACTGGGACAATCAATCCATCAATAAGCATTAAGCAAGGGGCAGCTAGGTAGCACAGTGGATAGAGCTCTGGCCTTGGAGTCAGGAGAACATGAGTTCAAATCCAGTCTCAGACACATGACACTTACTAACTGTGTGACCCTGGGCAAGTCACTTAACCCAGATTGTCTCACCAAAAAACCAAAAGAAAAAAAAAATGAAGCATTAAGCACCTACTATGTGCCAGGCACTTTGATAAACCCTGGGTATCTAAAGACAAGAGACTAGCAGCCTCTGTAGTAGAAGGACTGTGGGGGTGAGAGTTCTCTGGTTTGGGTTTCTAGCAGGCAGTCTCTGTATCTTGAGATCTTTTCATTCCAAGTTAATCATCATCATTATTGTTGAAAACAATTCTCTCACCATGATGGGAGAGAGCCGGCCTCGGAATCAGGCAGAAGAGGGTTCAAGCTTTGCCTCTGACACAAACTGGCCGTATGACCCTGGCTAAGTCTCTTCGCTCCTCAGTGCCCCAGAGAAGGTAGAGAGCCTTATTCTCCACCACTCCTGCTCAGGGAATTCTCCATAGCAGTGAAAGCCCAGGCCCAGCCCTTATCCCTATTATTCTTTTCCTATGTTTTTGTCGTTATTTAGTCAAAGGAGGGGGAGGTTACATTTGAGATTGTTGTTTGTCCTTCATTTTCCCCTCACTATTTTATTTTTTCCAATTGCATGTAAAGATAGTTTTCAACATTCACTTTTATAAGATTTGGAGTTCCAAATATTTTTTTTCTCCCCTCTCCCTTCCTCAAGATGGCAAGCCATCTGATATAAGCTATACATGTACAATCGTATTAAACATATTTCCACATTTGTCATGTTGTGAAAAGGGAAAAACATGAGAAAAAAAAAAAAGAGAGAGAGAGAGCGAGAGAGAGAGAGAGAGAGAGAGAGAGAGAGAGAGAGAGAGAGAGAGAGAGAGAATATAGTATGCTTCGATCTGCATTCAGCCCACAGTTCTTTCTCTGGATGTGGATAGCATTTTCCCATGAGTCTTTTGGAATTGTCTGAGGTCATTGTATTGCTGAGAAGACCCTAAGTCTATCAAAGTTGGTCATTGTACCATGTTGCTGTTACTATCCTCATTCTTGAAGAGGACAAATGACATCGGGAGGGGGTGTCTTGACTTGCAAGTGAATTGGATTACAGTGAGGGAGGGCTGTGCAAAGTCACCAGCCTCCTTTTCTCCTCTGGAGCCATCTGAGTTCAGTGGCAAGACGTAGGTCAGGATGACTGGAAATGACCCCAGATGCAGTGGGAGACCTTGGCCTTTTTAAAAAGTGAATTCCTCAAATTGCTGCCAGGGTTTGGGAGAAGCAAGAGAAATTCTGAAATTCAGAGATTCGTATTCTCCCTGTGGCTACTGAGTAGCATGGAGGTGGGGTAGGCAAATGGGAGTTAGTGGCATCTGCTGAGAAGGAAGGTAGCCCTGGTCTAGCAGAAGACATGATCATAGGGCTAGAAAGCGGTCACCCCTGTTCCTTCTCCATTTGACCATCTAGACTAACACCTTTCCCCCCTGCTCCCGCCCCCCTCCACCCTCAGATCCTACAGGGTCTTTCCTAACTCAGGTCACCTGCTACTTCCTAGGACCTGTGCAGGGCCCCAGAGCAAGCACTGACCCGTTGACCTACGAGTTCAAAGACTACTGAGCTTTGTTTCAGAAAAAGTCAATACTCCAGGAGGGGGAGGAGGGAGGGGATGACCTCAGTGCTGCCTCCCCCAACCCCAGGGCTAATGAGCTCCCCTCCACACACCCTTATGACTCAACCTAAAATAAGGAAGGAAGATAGTCAGTGGGACTGGGAACTGAGTGAGAGATAATAGGGAAGGAAGGGTAGCTGGCAAGGTACCAGACTTTGGACTCATCGGCAGCAGGAGGGAGAAGGCAGCGGTGGACAATGACCTCCATGGCGCTGTTCCTGGCGATGGCCCTCCTGGCCCACCTCTCAGGCCATCTGAGTGGTAAGAGCTGGGCCAGGGGTACCCTTGGGCTTGCTAGCGCTGGGGTGGCCAGCTGGGGTCTTGAGGGTGGGGGAGCTCTGTTCCCATTGGGCCGGGGGAATCCTCTGGAAAGGGAGCTGGGCACCAAGCAGCCATCGGGAAGTCCTGAAAGAAGAGCCAAGCATCTTCGGGGTATGGTCTAGGGCAAAGAGCATCATGCCTGGTGCCAGGAGATGGGGTCTCAGGTGTCACGGAACTCTGGGCTCACACCTTCCTGGGCTAGCTGCTTGACCTACTCGTTTTTCCATCTAGAAAATAGAGAGAATAACATTTGTGCCTGCTACCTCCTTTACAAAGCTGTCATGGGGCTAGCTGATAATTTTGATAATGGCTTGTTCTAAGTCATGCCCAGGGATGCCCATGGAAAGATCCAGAAATTAGGGTCAGAAGACCTAGATGAAAGCTCAGCTTTACTACTAAGTAGCCAGGTGACTTTGAGAAAGTCCCTTCCCTTTCCTGGGCCTTGGTTTCTTCCTTTGAACGTTATTAAAGCTATTTTTAGCTTCAATAGCAGACGAGGTGATCATTTAGAGATAGGGACTGGTAGCACCCTAGACTTGGAGTCAGGAAGACCTGAATTCGAATCCTTCCTTGACCACTGTGTGGCCAGCTGTGTGATGCTGGCCAAGTCACCTCAGTTCTGTTTCCTCATCTATAAAAAGAGGGGTTTCGACTCAGTGGCCCCCCTTCTTGCTCAGCTAGGAACCTAGGAGTAGAATTTGATTGCTATAGGGAGCTCCCAGGGGAGAAAGCTTCTTCTGCTAAAGGAGGTCAGCACCTTCTCTGAAACTGCAAGTCTTCCAGGATTGCCCAAAGCACAGAGAAGTTGACTAATTTGTCCAGGGTCACTCAGTGTGAGGAGGAGTCAAAGATGGGACTTGAGCCCAGGGCTTCTTGACTCAGAGCCCACTGAGGCTCTCTAAATGTTGGACTTTCAGGGCATTCTAAAGGTCTCCCTGCCTCCACCTGCTTCTGATGTGGGAAATCGACCCACTGGAGCCTCATCCCTTTAACAAAGGCTATGATCCCTGTTAAAAACAATCCCCTACCAGGATGAATATCCAAAGCTGTTATCTGTCACTGACACATGAGTGCTAATGAATTCTATAACCTCATTAGGGGTGAGGAGACTTGAGCTTATAGTCCAGCTCTGCTTTTTATTACCTACTTAAACTTGGACAAGGTATCTCTGTGCCTCAGTTTCCTCATCTGTAAAATTCTCCAGTAGACGACTTAATTTGGACTGGTTGGTCCATAAAATCCCTTCCAGATCTGACATTGTGTGTTCTATGTTCTAAGCGCGCCCCCCCCCACAAGTGTTGACATTCCAAGTTCTAAGGTCCCTCCCAGTTTTGACACACCATCATCTACAATTGTAAATGGAGATTTTGATAAGAAGAGAGCAGCAGGGCATTTGGGAGTTGTTGTGGAGACTGTGAGGGTCCACTGGGTGGGGGAAAAAGGTGAACAAAGAGGAGGCTGGGTCAGCTGCAGGCACATTTCTTCCTTCTGCCATGACTGGGTACTTCTGTCATGCTGGGAAGAGATGGATGGGCCCCCAGGCTACTCCATTTGACCTGCCCAGCAATTGTTAGCCCTGGGTCAAAGAGCCTACCATTTGCCCCAGGCCCTCCCTAGAACAAATTTGTGCAGTAAGGAATGCCAGGATTATTATCTGACCCCTCAGAAAAAGGAAACTGAGGCTCCTCAGACAGGAGCCACACACACCAAGCCTATAGCAGGGCTGGCCTTGAGCCTTGTAAGGCCCATCACTTGTTCTTTGCCCTCTTCTTGTTGGTCTTTTGTTGAAATCTAGGAATCCACACTCAGGGTGGACCCTTGACTTCATCCCCTCTCCTGACCTTTCAGCCACCCTGCCCTTGTCTGGATCTGTTCTGGGGAAAGGAGCCGCTATGAGCCAATGATTGACCCCATGGGTCTCCAGAGTGAGTGGGCCTGAAGAAAGGGAGGCCCAAGCCCTCCAGGCCTGGTGAAGGGGCTGGGCACTTTCCAAATTCACCTCTCTTTAAAAAAATTTTTTTTAGGCAATTGGGGTTAAGTGACTTGCACACAGCTCATAAGTGTCAAGTGTTTGGTCTGAAGCTGGATTTGAGCTCAGGTCCTCCTAACTTCAGGGCCGGTGCTCTATCCACTGGGCCACCTAGCTGCCCCCAAATTCACCTCTCTTTAAACTATGCTTTCTCCCTGTATAGTTTTGCTAGAAGGGCCCCAGAGGTGGGAGGGGCCTTAGAACATAGAATATCAGATCTGAAAAGGACTTTGGAACACAGACTGTCAGGGCTGGTAGGGGCTTTAGAGCATAGAATGTCAGAGCTAGCTGAAACGTTAGGATCTCAGAGCTGTAAAGGACCTAGATTGTAGAGTGTCAGGACTGGTAGGGATCTTAGAACAGGGAAGGGCAGAGTTCAGGATCTTAGAGCATAAAATCATAGAGCTAAGGTTAAGGCCAGGAGAGAGGCAGCAGGCCTGGTAGTTATTTCCCTGAAGTGGTTTTATCCTGCTCACATTTCCAGTAAGGTTAGGGGCATTGCTTAATCCTTATGGCTACTCCCTAACTCAAGGATAGGGAAGGAGCAATTCATTCCTGGTTCCTGGTTCCTGGTCGCTGCTCCCGGAGAAGGTGACTGTCAGTTCCACTTCGGGTTTTTGTATCTCCAGCACCTGGGACAGTGCCGGACACTTAGTAGTTGCCACTAAATGATTGTTGATTGATTGATTGATCCGGGGAAGAGAGTGCCATTGCCAGGGGCTGACACAAGATGGTCAGGCTCTCCTGCCATCTTTTTCTTGATCAATCACCAAATCTCCATTGAACACCCATGAGAAAAGTGGTACAGAGGACAGAGCCGAGACTCTGGAACCAGAGTGCATAGATTCAAATCCTTTCCCTGTGTAAGGACCTCGAGCAAATACCTTTCCTTCCCTGGGCCTCAGTTTCCCCTTCTGTAAAATGAGAGGTCAGACTAGGTGGTGTCTGAGGTTCCTTCCAACTCTAGCCAACCCTATGAAATTGGAGGGAGTGAGTCCCTACTGCTTTGGCCATTATGGCCTTCACACTTGAGTGACAGCCAGGAGAGAAAAGGATGTCGGCTATCAAAGAAACTGTGGATGGTGAGGAGGATGGTTGGAATGGGGTCAGGGGTGGGGAAGGCTGCCTTGGTGGTGAGGATGATGGTGAAGAGAAGCCTAGGGACCAACGTCTCCATTAAAGTTCACTCCAGTTGGACTAGTCCAAGCTGTCCTCTGTGTGGCTGAAATTCACCCCTCTTTTGACCACTCTCAAAAAGTTAATCACTCTGCAGGTCTTGGATGGTGGATTCTCAGTTCTCTCTAGCCATTACAGAGAGAATGAGTTTTGAGATGGGGAGAGGAAAGAGAGCAGAAATCCTGAAGGGTGGATAGAGTTGTCTAAAGTTCCTGCCTGGGGTTCCCCAGGTCCTGGGAGAATAATGGGCAAACTGGAAAAGCATAGTGGGAAAAGACTGGATGTACTCTCAGCCCTGATTGTTGTTAGCTGTGTGACCTGGGATAGGGCCACATTCTCTCCGATCTCAGTTTCCCCATTTACACAATGTGGACAATAAAATGCTACCTACTCCCAAGATTGGTGCTGCCAGGGAACAGGATACTCTGGCAACTGTAATGCATTGGAGAAATGTTAGGGAGTATTATTATAATCATTGCTATACCTCATCTCCCAGCTGACCCCACCTTGGAAGGGCCTGTCAAAATGATTGGCCCCTGGAAAGGGAATGTCAATGTTGCCTGCACCTACGGGCCCCTGAAAGGTTACACCCAAGTCCAGGTGAAGTGGCTGGTCCAGCAGGACAATGAGGTTGTCACCATCTTTTTGCGGGATTCCTCTGGGGACCACATTCAACAGGCCAAGTACCGAGGCCGCCTGCAGGTGAACAGAGAGCCCCCTGGAGATGTGTCCCTGCTCCTGGAAACCTTGGAGATGGATGACAGAGGTCGCTACCAGTGCCAAGTAACCTGGAAGGTCCCTGATGGTAGGCAGCTGGTGAAAGAGCGCATGACAGAACTTCAAATCCAGAAACGTGAGTTTGGGATGAGGGGACAAAGTCTGTGCTGGAATGGGATCCTGGCAAGTCTAGAGGAAAGGGCCTAAAGCCTCTTCCTGGGCTGACATTCTCTGTTCTCTGTTCTAAGGCCCTGATCAGCTCTTACATTCAGTGCTGTAAGGTCCTTCTCCATTCTGACATTCTGTGTTCTAAGGCCCCTCCCAGATCTGACTTTTTTGTGTTCTGCCTCTTTCAGCTCTGACATTCTGTGTTCTAAGGGCCCTCCCAGCTCTGACATTCTGTATTCTAAATGCCCTTCTAGCCCTGATATTCTATATTCTAAGACCCCTCCCAGCCCTGAAATTCTATGTTCTAAGGGCCCTCCTAGCCATGAAATTCTGTGTTCTAAGGGCCTTCCCAGCCCTGAAATTCTGTATCATGAGGTCACTCCCAGCCCTTCCGTTCTGTGTTCTAAGAATCCTCCTAACTCTGACATTCTGTGTTCCAAGTTCCCTCCTAGCCCTGACATTCTGTGTTCTAAGGCCCCTCCCAGCTCTGATATTCTGTGTCCCAAGGATCCTCTTGGTTCTGACATTCTGTGTTCTGCAGCCCCTCCGGGTTCTGAAATTCTATGTTCTAAGGCCCCTCCCGGCCCTTATTTTCTGTGTTCTAAGGTCTCTCCCAGTTTTGACATTCTGTGTTCTAAGGCCCTCCTAGCCCTGACATTATATGTTCTGAAGGCCTTCCCTGACCTGACATTCTCTGTTCTACAGCCCTTCTGGGTTCTGAAATTTTGCATTCCAGGACCCCTCCCAGCCTTTGCGTTCTGTGTTCTAAAGCCCATCCTCATTTGGACATTGTAAGGTCCATCCCAGTTTTGACATTCTGTGTTCTAAGGTCCCTCCCCGCTCTTACACTTCTAAGCACCCTCCCAGCCCTGACATTCAGTGTTCTAAGGCCCTTCTCAACCCTGATATTCTGTGTTCTGATGGCACTCCTAGCTCTGGCATTCTGAGTTCTAATGATCCTCCCTGCCCTGAAATTCTATATTCTGAGGTCCCTCCCAGCCCTTCCATTCTGTGTTCTGAGGGCCCTCCCTGACCTGACATTTTATGTTCTAAGGCCCCTCGTAGCTCTTATATTCTCTGCTTTAAGTAAAGCCCGTCTTGGTTCTGATATTCTGTGTTCCAGGGCTCCTCTCAGCCCTGACATCCTGTGTTCTAAGGCCCCTCCCAGCCCTGACATCCTGTGTTCTAAGGTCCCTCCCAGCCCTGACATTCTGTGTTCTAAGGCCCTTCCCAGCCCTGACATTCCTCGTTCTAAGATCTCTCCTAGCTCTTCCACTCTGTGTCCGTGACATCTCTGACATTCTACCTTCTAAGGTCCTCCTTTCTTGGGTCCTTTGTATCTCTGCCTTTGTGGATGCTAATCTTTCTGTGTTTGCTCTTTGCCCTTTCCCTATTCCTCTACCCCTTCTAGGCTTCCCTCTCTTAATTCGTGAGCCAACTTCGGCTCCTTTTCTTAGGTTTTTTGCTTGTTCCAGCCTCCAGGCCTGTGCCCCCAAGCTGTACTCCACTCATGACAACCTAATTCAATCACCTTCCAGCCCAGTCCCCTAGAAGCTTGCTCTCAGTGCGGGTATCCTTCCTCACTCCAGCCCTTTCTCTGTCTCCCTCCTGTAGTTCCTGCCTCCAAGCCCCAGGTGACCACAGGTTCTGGCTATGGCTTCCAGGTGCCCCATGGCATGAGAATCAGTCTTTTGTGTCAGGCCCAAGGCTCTCCACCTATCACCTACAAGTGGTACAAGGGGAAGCCGGATGGGACTCCGACCCAGGTGACTTCTCTCGGCACCCTCCTCTTTAAGCCTGCCCAGGTCTCTGACTCTGGCACGTACTTCTGCACGGCCAAGGCTCGTGTTGGTTCTGAGCAGATGAGTGACCTTGTCCACTTTGTGGTCACAGGTGAGCTGCTGTCTTCATCGCCTGGTTTTCCTGCTTGTGGTCCAGGGAGGACCCTGGGGGCTAGTTTCCTGGGCCCTGGGGTAACTTGGGTTCTTTCTTTTATCTACCTTTGCTAGCCACATGATTTTGGCAAGTCACCTCCCCCAAAGCTTAAGGCCAGACTTACCTATAAAGAAATGGGGCTGCTTATACATTCACAGAAGCCTTAAGCATCAGAAGGGATGGTAATGGTCAATCAATCAATAAGCATTTATTAAGTGCTTACTGTATGCCAGGCATAGCCCTGAGCACTGGGGACCCCAAGTAAGGCAAAAAGACCAAAACTTTCTTTCCCTCAATTAGCTTACATGTGAATGGCCTTATCTAAGCCAGTGGCAAAAGTTATTTTGGGAGGTGGGGGCAGAGGTCAGTGGGATGGAGATACAAGTGTGGCTGGTATAGCTAATCAAAGACAACATGCATCGTGGGAAGGCCACTAGATTTAAAATTGGAACTGAACTTTGAATCTTGCCTCTGATGCACATCTTTTGTGGGAAGTCACTGTACTTCTCTGGGCCTCATTTTTCCCCTCCATAAAATGGTTATGGTGGTACTGACACTGTGTACCTCTCAAGGGTGTTTTGAAGATTGGATGGAAAGCACTCTCATCACTAAAGAAACTTCAGTTATTATTTACATGCTTAGGAGAAAGTACCTAGAACCTCATAGCCATGGTGAAATTTTGAAAATCTGAATTGAAATTTCTGAAATCCAGAATCTGCTGGAACCATCTGGGGCTAGTTGGAATCTACTGGAACCTGCAAAGAGCAGAGACACAGATGAGACTTTAAGAATCATCTAGTGTCACCAGCCTACTTTACTGATGAGGAAACTGAGGCCCAATGAAGGGAAGGGACTTGCCCAAGATCACACAGCTGGCAAGTGACAGAGCTGGCATTCAAATTGATGTCTTCTAACTCTGAGGCCAATGATCTTGACCCTGGCACTTGATGACCTCAGAGATCAGGATCAGCTGAATCAGAACCTTGGATCTGGTCAGGGTTGGAGGGGGGCATTTCAAAGGTTGCAGAAATGTGGGGGGAAGAGCTGGGGACACATTGGGTCTGGGTCAGACAAACCTTACTAGTGTAGGCCAGACCCTTGGCCCATAGAGGTTGTCCATGGAGTGGGGGAGGGGGAAAGAACATGACAATAACTGGTGTACTGTCACCTCCCCTGGCAGACTCTTCCAAGAGGCCTACATCAACGATGCTGCCTGAGGAACTAACAGCCAGCACACCCCACCCTGAAGGTGAGTCCTATTGGAGGCCGAGGGGAAGTTGCCAGGAGCTCTGGTGAACCAGGAGGAGGCAGACAATGGAGGCACTTGGGGATTGGCTTCAAACGGCCCCTCTTGAGGGACCCACCAGGGATCCAGAGAAGGCATCATAGGTGGCAGTACCAGGGTACGAGGGGCAGAAATCTTGGCTCTGCCACTTACTGGGCATGTGAACCTGGCTTCAGTATCTGCCACTTACTGGGCATGTGAACCTGGCCTCAGTACTTGCACCTGCAAACCTGGGCTGCAAAAGTCTTTCTGGGAGCAGCTAGGTGGTGCAGTAGATAGAGCACTGGCCCTGGAGTCAGGAGGACCTGAGTTCAAATCCAGCCTCAGACACATAACACTCACTAGCTGTGTGACTCTAGGCAAGTCACTTAACCCCAATTGCCTTACAAAAAAAAAAAACCCAGTCTTTCTGAACCACAAAACTAAATTGTTCTGTGAGCTGTAAAAGGGCTGGAGAGATGTGAGCTCTTGTTATGATGAGCATCTCTCCTGTTCTTACTCCATATTGGTAATGACACTTCCATGAGATGCAGTCCTTTCCCTTGATGAGTTTGTCAACTAAAAGGGAAGTCAAGGCTGGCACTTTGGACCATCTGAGAAAGGCCTACATAGGGAGGTAAGGGGCATGGATGAGGAGGCAAAGGGCAGCTCCTTCAAAGAGCTGAGGACATGAAGCCCATTTCATTCATTCAGTCAAGCATTCATTTAAGATGATCAAAGGAAAAAACTGAGGCCTGTGGAGAAGTGACTTGCCCAAGGTCATACAGCTAGTAAGTGGCAGAGCCAGAATGCAAACCCAGGCCTCCTCTGTAAAATGAGGGGATTGGTAGATGGACTCTTCCAGCTCAGGATCTGCTCATCCTGACATCACTTCTGACTGTGTGGCCAGGGAAGGTTTCCTGGAGGGGGTGCCATTTGACTTGGGCCTTAGAGGATGGGTAAGATTTTGACCAGCAGAGATGGGGGATGGATAAGTGAGGGCATCCCAGGCACAGAGACTTGTGTGAGCAAAGGCACGGAGGTGGGAATGTGCAGTGTGTTTTGAAGAGATTGGAAGAGACCTGGGTTTGGTAGGAACACAGAGCACATGAAGAAGAAAGTCACTTAAAATAAATGATGAATTATGGGCAGTGACAGAGTTTTGTCATCAGAGGTTCTCTATGCTGATGAAATCCCAAGTCTGGTCCTTATCCCTTGGTAATATTGTTGGGAATATTTTCTTAGACTAGATTCGGGCTGAGGGCGCTGAAGAAGGAAGGGAGGTGGTGGTTTGGGGCTTGGAGTGCCATCTGGTGCCTTCCCACCCACATAGCACCCTGACTCGGGGGGCTTGGAAACACCACCTGATCCCAGCTGTACGACCATGGTCCAGAGACCAAGGGACGTGACCTTTCTGACCCCTAGCGTCTTCATGGTGCTGAGATGATGAAACGCAAGGGGCTCCAGCCTCCCTCTCACATCCTCCTCCATCATGATCTTCTTTATACTTCTCCCAAATCCTTCCAGCTGACTTTTGCTTATGGCCATAGGAGCTATGGGGAACAGCAAAAAGCATGAGACTTAAAAGTCCTCAGTTCTGAGTTCGAGTGCCAGCTGCAGGACTTACTGACCCTGTGACTGTCGCTAGGTCACTTGAACCTCTTTGGGCCTCAATTTTCTCACTTGTAAAACAAAGCTAATCATGGACATTGTGTCATCTGCAACCCACGCCTTCAGCCTTCACTTCCTCCCTTGAGAGGAAAAGAATATTGACCTGGGGTCAGAGGACTTCAGTTCACTTTTTAGTTCTTCAACTCTGGAGGTAGAGGTCATGTGACCTTGGACAAGTCATTTATTTCCCTTCCTCTGGGCCTCAGTTTCCTCATTTGTGAAATGGGAGGATTAGGCTAATTTCTCTGGCCCCTCTGACTTTGATGTCCTTCTGTCCACTGATCACTAGCATCCCCCCAAGAGATTTGTGTTCCAAATCCTTGGATACCTCCATTGTACTGTGACTCCCCTCTAAGTTCTCAGCACCTCAGTTAAACACAGTGATGACCTGGTAGAGGGAAGGCCCTTATCAATTGAGAGGACTAGTCAATTAAGCCATGGTTCTCCAGGTGACATGTGTCATACATACCTAAGCTTCCTGTTCCTGTGAGGTGTGATCTCCATTCTGGCTATACTGCATGGCCATATTGTGGTCTACCCTGACCCTTGGAGTCTTTTCTGCCTAGTGTCCCATGGAATCAGCAGCCATCAACATGTGAGTGTCCTCTGTACTCATTCCCAGAGTCCCCTGATCTCCTTTCCTTGTTTGCATAGTAATACACCAGTCAACCACAGCGACCCCAGCTAGAGACCAGACATCGACAATAGACAGCTTCTTGGGGGCAAGCACCATTGGACTAGGTAAGGGCAAGACCAGGGCTTTGCCCTGCCCTTTTTGCTCCTGGAGCACCTCTGAGCTTGGGATTTCCATGCACCGCACCTATGCTCCCAGAGGCCCAAAGTAGGAGAGGGCCTGGAGCAGAGTGGCTAGTGATGTCCTCACACTTGTGTGCAGGGCTCAGCTCCCCACTGAGGGATGCCTTCATCTTGATTCTCTGTCACCATAGCAACAGAGACATCATCTAGGAAGCAGACAACCATGGATGCTGGCCATGCTGGGGCGAGCAGCGAAAGGCCAGGTAAGAGCAGCAACACCTTCTTTCCATTGGGGGATCTTCCCTTGGCACTTAGACAATGATCTTAAGGCACCTTGTGGGATATTCAATGGAGCTCCCTCTCCCTCCCCCAGGAGCTTCAGGGAATTCGGGGTTGAGGTCCCTGGACTGCATGGACTCCCTCTCCACCCTCCCTTCTGGGCCCAGGGTGTCAGGGACACCTCCTCCAGCCAGTAGCCCTGATGTGCCTGGCTGTGGCTTTACATCTCCTCCTCCCAGGCTAGCTTTGGGCACCAGAGGACAGTGACTTTAGAGTCTTGTCTTTGGACCTTAGCTCTGCCCCTTCTTCTCTAAAGAGAAGAAGTCATCTGTTTGACTTAATAATAACTAACCTCTCCATAGTATTGCTTCATGTGCCAAGCAGTGTGATAAACATTTTACAAGCATTATTTTATCTGTTCTTCACAACAATCCTGGGGAGTAGGTGCTTTTATTATCCTCTTTTACAGATGAAGAAACTGAGACAAACAGAGGTTAAGTGACTTGCCCGAGGTCACACAGCTAGTAAGTGTGTGAGGCTGGATTTGAACTCAGGTCTTCCTGAGTCCAGGCCCAGTGCTTTATCCACTGCACCACTGAGTCTCCAAGGCCCCCTTCAGCTGGAAGGCTATGGATTCATCCTGGTGCCCAGGACCCCCAGGACAAAGGAGGAGAGGGGCTCAGCATGGAGCGGGGAGGGGTCAGTGGGTCCTATTTCTTATTGGGCCAGAAATTCTTTCCTCCAGTGTTGCATATAATACTCTTTATAGATGTGAATTTGGACTCTTCTGGGCTGGGCTTCTGGGCCTTAGAGGCTGTACTGGAGGTGTGTGCGCACTGGCGCTCATAACCTCCTCGGCCATTAGGTTTTAGCTTTCAAGTCCCCACCGCTTAGCGACAGTCTCCAATACTGATTGGGCAGCAGGGCTGTCTGTCATAAGGCCCTGATCAGCATCTTATCTCTCCACTGATGGCCTCCTGCCACATCCAGGGTCCCCCAGTTTGGCTCCAAGGGGCAGGATGATATTCACTAGGTAGAGAAACACTAGGCCAGGTGAGGACATTGGCTGTAGATGTAGCTTCGAAGGACAAGAACATTTACATGGCCCCTGATTGCTAGCCAGACTCGAGAACCACAGAATGTCAGAGCTGGATGGGACCTTAGAAGCCAGTGATAGCTCAGAAGAGATCATGGCTGTCAAGTACTTTAGGCAAGCCTTAAAATGCAACCCAAAGTTTTTATCATCATCATCATCATCATCATCATCATCATCATCATCATCATCATTATTACTATTATTATTATTGTCTAGTCCAACCCTTGCATATTACAGAGATCCAGAGAAGGAAGAGATTGTCCAAGGCCACACAGTGTCTAAGTGGCATAGGCAGGATTTGAATCTGGGTCCCCTGATTCTGCCTGTTGGTCTACACTGCCTTGCAAAGACCACAGACCATCCCCATGCTCCTCCTCCTTTGCAGGTTCAACTTCAGATGTTGCATCGAGGGACCAGGGAAATGCCAGCAAAAGAGCAGGTAGGAGCGGATGGGGGTGGCTAGAGGAAGGTGTCCTGGAAAGAAGGTGGCCAGCCAACCCACGCACCTGCGTGGCCCTGGGCCTGGCTGCATCAACAAGCACTACTATGGGCCAGGTGCATTGATGCCCAGTGACCTTTCCAAAGATTGAGGTGTAGCATGGCTTGGGGCAGGGGTGGGGAGGAGCTCCTGGGGGCTGCCTCAGGGGCAAACATTGAGCCCACTTTGTCAGGATTAATCCTAAGGGCCTAAGGGAGATTCCTTGTTACTCTGTCCATGGTGACTGTGTGGGGATGGGCTATGCTGTGTGGCACAGGTGCAGCAAAGGAAGAGCCCCTGGGCCCTGTACTTGGCCTTCTTGAGAACATGTTTGGTGACAGCCAAGTGACTGGGCCTCTGGCTCAAAGCACAGGGCACCAAGTCTAAAGTTAGTGAGCTATTCTGCCACTCCCCTCCTCTCCCATCCTCTCCTATCCACTCTCTTTTACCTCCTCTCTCCTCCATCTCCTCTCCCCTCCTCTCCTCTCTTCTTTCTTCCCCTCCCCTCTCCTCCCCTCTCTTCTCCTCTCCCCTCCTCTCTTCTCCCCTGTCCTTCCCTCTTCTCTCCCCACCCCCTTCCCCTTCCCTCCCTGATTAAGCCATGAGACTGTGTTCTTGTCTTGAACCTGGGGCTGTGGCCAAGATAGGAAAGGGACAGGTGGGAAAACTGGAAATTCCAGGAACTGGCCTTGGGAGAGGGGAGCAGGGTAGTGGACATCTGGCTTCTGGTGACCATTGTCCCCCACCCCACTCCAAAGCCCTCTGGGAATGTCTCCTCTATTAGGTGGACAAGGCCTGCCCCTCTATGCCATCATCCTCATCGCCTTACTGTGCATCGCACTGGTCTTTGCCACACTCTTTGGGCTCTGCCGGAGGAAATCACAAGATGGTGAGTGTGGCAGGGCTTTGTGTTTATGCATGGGTATGTGTGTGTGTGTGTGTGTGTTTCCTCAGACAGTTATACAGTCTTGCAATCTCAGAGCTAGAGGATACCTTAGAGATCAATTTGATCTACCATCCAGGCTTGGCTTGAAGACCTCCAATGACAGTGAACTCGACTACCTACCTAGCACCTTCCTCTTTGGGATACTCCAATGAGCAGGAAGTTTTTCCTTATATGCAGCCTCAACCTGCCTTACTACAACACCACCTGTTGCTCCCAGTTCTACTTTCCGGGGCCAAGCTGAGCAAGGGTAAATCCTCTTCCACACATGCACAGGACAGCCTGTCAGATACTTGAAGACAGCAACTGTAGCTCCTCCTGTCTTCTCTCTGTTAAACACCCTAGGTCCATTCACTCGTGTTCAATGAGGACACCTCCACTTGGTCAATGCTGCCCTCAGATATGACACCCAGAAATGAGCACAGCCCTCAGTCTGACCAGGACCGACCCGTTGAATGAGTCATTCACTCACTGAACAACATCTGCCCCACACCCTGAGAATGAGAAGACCCAGTTTCTGCACTCACAGAACCTACAGAACATCAGAGCTGGGAGAGAACTTGAGGAGCAGATGATCCTCTATAGTGTAATCTCTCCATTTTACAGAGGAGAAAACTGAGGCTCAGAGAGGGGAATGATTCACACAGGGATCTTTCTGCATTGCATCAGGGTGTTCACAGTCAGCTTAGGAGACTAGAGTTCCCCATGGGAGTCATTTAATTGACACAACCTGTCAGTCTCTACTCGGCTGCTCCATGGGGGAACAAGGACCCTCTAGGCCAGAGCTTCTTAAACTTTGTCCACTCTAGTCCCCTTTTCACACTTCGGCAGCCTTGATTGGCTGTTGTGTGCCCTGAGGGGCATATGCAGTGCAAAGTGTGTGTTTGATTTTTAATTAATTTTTGGTCATTGCATGTTCAGAAACCTTTTACTGTTACCAAATTTTTGGTGACCCTGGGGTTTAAGAAGCACTCCTCTAGGAGGTCAGGGAAGGGGAGAAATCAGTGCAGTACAAAGAGTCCAGATTCCGGAGTCTGGGAAAAATGCTCTGGGCTTAAGACCGAGAGCCTGAGGTTCAGTTCTGGCTCTGCCACTTACTAGCTAAGTCATAGAACCATAGTTTTAGAATCAAAAGGGGTCATATAGTCTCATTTTACAGATGGAGAAACTGAGGTCAAAAGGCGAAATGACTTACCTATGGTCATACACAGATAGTCAGTGACAAAGGTAGGATTTGAACCCTGGTCCTCTTTACTCCAAATCCATCAATGAATTAACAGGCATTTCATAAGTGCTTACTGTATACCAGGCACTGTGGTAAGCACTGAGGATACAAAGATAGGTAAAAATACATAACTGCATATCCCTTCCACATTGCAGGGGCTTAGGGGTGTGGCACCCCTGTGATCTGGAAAATCTGCATAAAATTGTTTGGCCCTTCCTTCGTACCAGAGAAGTCTGAATTGCCACAGCATTAAAAGATAAAATACATTATTATGTGATACTATACATATGTTTTATGCATTTTTGAGTTTCTACGTGTTTTCTGTGTTGTCTGCTGGCCTTCACGTATCATCCGAGGCTTCCGAAAAACTCCCCAAGAATTCCTTTAATGAATTAATTTAATTAATGAATTTCTTATGCCAACCCACATTATATCAAAACCGCAATGGGGAAAGTCACAATGTGGAAAGGATAACTATATTGTCCTTGCCTGCAAGTAGCTTACATTCTAATGGAGGAGATAACATGTCAATAATTGGGCACATCCAAGATATCCATGGAGTAGGTGAAAGGCAGCCTTAGCGGGGAAAGCACTAGTATCTCGGTGATGGCGAAAGGCCTCCTAGGGAAGGTGTTGGACCTGAGGCGTGTGCTTTTATGCAGTACTAGGCAGAAAGTGACTTTATCTCTCACGGCCTAATTTCTCCATCTGTAAAATGGGGGATTGGACAGGTAACTTCTAATGATCCCTTCTACTCTAAAGCCATGATACGTAGCAGGAGGAGAGAAGGATCAGAAGCATTTCTAGGCAATGTGGAGCAGTGGTTAGAGTACTGTTCTTAGAGTCAGGGATAACCGGATTCAAATCCTGCCTCAGACACCTACTTCCTATGGAATCCTGGGCAAGTTCTTTATACTTTCTAGACCTCAGTTTCCTTCTCTGTAAAATGGACTTGATGCCTTCTAAGGTCCCTTCTAGCTGAAAGCTTATGGTCCTATGAGAATGAAGAAGCCAGTTTGACTGGAGTGGAAGCAGAGAGAAATCGAAAAATGAGAAAGAGTCCAGGCTGTGAAATCTGAACTTTATCCTGTTTGCCGTGGTGCTTGAGTAGAAGGACACCATTTTGATTGTTGATGAGCACCATGGAGCCTTTGGGGGAGGTGGAGGAGGAGAGAGGACAGCCCTTCTTGGAGGGTCCAATCTTGCTTTAAGCTCTTTTCTCTTGGTCCTACCCCTCCCCCATCTCCACCATGACAGCCTAGCTCATATCTCCCTTTGCAGGGCCAGAGTAAAAGTGATTGAGGGCATGGAATGAAAAAAAGCAGTAGCTGTTCAGCTGTTCAAGTCAGCCTGGCAAGACAGTAATAATATCACACCATCCCCATGCCTTGTAACTTTCAATGGTTCCCCATTACCTTCAGGATAAAACCAAGCTCATCAATATGGTGTTCAAGTCCCACCATGCTTTGGTCCCTTCTTTTCCAAACTTCTAAGCTAATTGGATTTATATCAATGATTCTACGACAGTTCAGCATTAGGAAAATCATTTTAAAATTGTGCTGATTATGCTACTAGATGCAGAAATAGCCTTTGACAAGATACACCAGTCATTTATAGGTATGGAAGGAAAAGAGAAGGACAAAAGCCTTTATATAGTGCCTATTATGTGCCACACACTTGTGCTAAACATTTTTTCCCAATACTATCTCATTTGATCCTCCCAACAACTCTGGGAGGTAGGTGCTATTATTGTCCCCATTTTACAGTTGAGGAAACTGAGGCAGATGAATGATAGGGTCAAAAGTATATATTTAATAGAGTTAGTTTTTCACAACATGTCTACTGTGGAAGTGTTTTGCATAACTGCACATGTGCAACCTATATTGAGTTGCTTGCCTTTTCAATGAGGGTGGGTGGGGAGGGAGGAAGACAGAAAATTTGAAACCTAAAGTTTTAAAAACATATGTTTTTAAAAAAATGTTTTCACATGCTACTGGGAAATAAGGAATATAGGAAATGGGGTACAGAAGTCTGTCCTGCCCTACAGGAAAATAGAAGGGGAAGGGGATAAGAGAAGGGGAGAGAGATAGAAGAGAGGACAGACTAGGGGAAGGGATATTCAGAATGCATGACATCTTGGGGTGGGGGGAGGGGGGAGATGGGGTAAAAATTTGGAACTCAAAAACTTGTGGAAGTGAATGTTGAAAACTAAAAATAAACAAATTTATATCAAATAAATAAATAAATGAATAAATGAAAGTATGTATTTAAGCCAACAGCTAGAATTGTCCACAACGGTAAAATAGTGAAAGGTTTTCCGATAAGCCCAAGGCTAAAGCAAGGTTGCCTCCCTTCTCCCCACCACTATTTCAGAAACTACCTGGCCTAACCTCTTCTCCTTTTACAGAAGAAGAAACTGAGGCTGAGAGAGGTTGCCCAAAGCCATACAGGGAGTAAGTGACAGAAAGAGTGTTTGAACTCAGATTCTCTGACTCCACAGCCAATGTTCTTTCCATGGGATCACCACCAGTAAAGAGGAAAAAATGCTCCAAACTTTGCTCATCCCACTCTCCTTCCTGCACCTTGTACTCTAGTCAGACTGGCCTCCACCCACAAATGGTCACCATTGCTCTCTCCTCCTAAAATGTTCTTTCCCCTTCTCTCTCTATCCATGCCCTCTCCATACATGAGTCGGGCCCCTATCCCTCCCCCATCACTCCCTTTTCCCTGACCACCCCCAGTATTCTTTCCCTCTGACTTTCCTAAAGCAAACTGTTTTTCATCATGTCATTCTCCTACTCAACCACCACCAGTGACATCCCAAAGAAAACATCAGCGATTCCCAAATTTGTTCTTTCTCATGGCACAATATTCTTTGACGTGAGGAGCTAAGGCACACTGAATGTTTAAATTGGCAGTGCTGGGGGAGAATCAGGAGCCTCTCACATACACAGTTTCCCTTCAATAAGAAAGAGCAGCTGTTTTTGCTGAGTTCTTTGCTAGTTCAAAGTCTGACATGTTCCGAGGTTAGTGTGTATATGTAGGGTGTGTGAGTAACAGGCGAGTTATATTTATTTTGCAAATACTGTACTTACAATTCTGTGTGTGCTGGGAGAGCAAAATTTATATTAACCACTTTATTTATACATTTTCTTTTATCTGTAACAACATAACATTTAACTCTTTGTGGCCTACCTAATTATACTCTTGGCTCACTTGCATGTACCCTTTGAGAACCCAGGACAAAGGCCAGACTCAGGCTCCAGACACTCCAGGCCCTTTCCTGCCTTTTCCATTTCTCTCTCTTCCTATGGCCCTTCTTACGACCTCTGCTAAGGCTTCGTTCTCACTGTCTTCAAGTAATGCTGGTATTACTATTGTTAAAGTCCTATATGGTTAGTTATATTTTCTAATGTGTGAGCCTCACTTCCCCAACTAGACTAGATGTTCCCTGAGAGCAGGAACCGCTCCTTACATCTTTCTGTGGAGCGTTGACGCCCCAGGGAAATGTCTCTTTCCTGATCCCCCTCACCTCCCTCTCCGATTTTCTCCTCTCAAAAGCTAGAAATTTTACTTCATTCCTAAATTTAGCTTCTGTCTCCTAGAGTTAAAATGAATTTATTGACCCCTAATGGACACCGACTATCTGCTCCCTCAGTGAAAGTGTGTTCCACTTGGCCCCAGGGGGTGGCCCTAGAAGCGATGAGGCAGATAAAGACAGGATTTGTGAAGCCAAGTGAACAAGCACTTAGTGACTGCTTACTATGTGCCAGGATAAACTTCATAACAACTGTGGAATGGGCTGCCTTGGGAAGAAGTGAGTTCCCCATCACTGGAGGTATTCAAGTGGAGACTACCTGAGGGGGATGCTGTGAAGGGGATTCCTGCTCAGATAAGGCCCTAGATGACCTTTGAGGTCCCTTCCAACTGAGACATTCTGTGATTTTGTCGTAGAATTTTAGACCCAGACAACGTGGTCCAATCACCTCATTTTATGGGGGTCAGGTGACTTGCTCAAGATCACACAGTCTACTGTGTACTTTGCCCAGAAAATACCAGAAGGAGAGAATGGAATGAAGGGCACCATCTCTGGGCCCTCCCTGTAGATCGATGCCATTGGCCCAGGGCTTAGGCTTCCTGGAATGCCTCTTCTTCCATTGGCTATGGCTGTTCGGTCCCCCATCAAGGGTCCCTGTTAGCTTTTGCTTAGTCTCTCTGGTTCCTGGTTTATTGGGAACCACCCAGGGGCTGTTCACTCTGGGTCCCTCCTCAAGGACACCCGGGGCCAGGGAAGGTCTGCCTTCCTGGAAGGATTGAGGGTGGGAGGGTGGGTCAGAGATCCCCATCCAGAGACTAGAGCTGGCATAAGCAGAGGCAGCCTGTCCAGATGGAGGCCTACTATTAGAACAACAATGATCACAGTACTGAAAAGCAGCAGTGCCTTGCACTCCACTGCCCTTTCCAAAGCACCTGTTATGAAACTGAGCCACAGAACAACCCTGAGAGGCAAGCAGTAGAACTGTTTTACAGAAGAGGCTTAGAGGAAAGTGACTTGTTCAAGGTTACTCTGTTGTGACAACCTGAAAGAATGGGAAGGGTACTGGCTTTGGAGGGAGGCATTATGCTGCTTATTAGCTGGACGGCCCTTTTCCTCCTCATCTGTAAAATGGGAATAGTCATGCTTTGGCAGGGCTAGATGGGCAGGGGAATGCATGGGCTCAATTTGTGCCCCCTAAGCCCCTCCCCACTCAGGAGGCTCTCCTTGGATGCCCAAGGGGAGATGCCCTCCCCCCAGCCCTCAGCACTTGTCCCGTGGGTTTTGGTCATACCTGGCTGGCTAGTAGAGATGCCCACACCTGTCCCTGGGTGCTACTGCTGCCCAGGTGCTTCTATCTTGACCCTGTGTCTTCTTTTGCAGAGCACACCTATGAAGTGGCCAGGTAAGATTCTTCCCCTCCTTCCCCTCCTTTCCTCCCCCACCCCATTAGCCTCCTTGCGACTGGCTGGAAGACATTAGGACAGACCAGGACTAGGTTTCATTCAAAGGGTCACAGGCTTCAGCACTGGAAGTGGCTCCAGAGACCCTCTGTGGTTCAGAAGTGATTCTACAACATAGAAGTGATTGAGCTGGGAACTGAACCCAGGTCTC